CACACACACACACACACACACACACACACACATTGCCACCGAACAGGCCGTCGAAATTCCCGCGGAGCGCCGGGCACTCAGCAACTCTTGCGATCAGGGTGTGTTAACCCTACACTGCAATGTATGCAACTCTGCCCTTGGAAGGTATCAGCTGTTGATGTGACGTCACTATGGTGACGTTCAAGCTCTCGATTGGATGAAACTGTCAACAGCTGATATATTCCAGGACCAGAGTTGCGGAAATCGCAGTATATGTGAGCGAAGCTCAATCTCAAGCGCCCAACGGTTCGCCGCCGATCCTCTCCCAGACCTGTCGAGTTGGTATAGTTTACTTTTATTCCAGATACTCCGTTTGGGATTACGAACTTGAAAGAACTTCGGCTAGTTTTCGACAATGACAAGACCAAAAGTTTCTGTGACATTCTGTGACATAAAAATGATTTATGCTTTCAAAGAAAAGAGCGTAACAATGTAATGTTTAAATACAAGGAAGAACACGAATCACATGTTCACGAACGACGCCGAATGAATGTAAAATCTCTGTTCAAGAGAATTTTTGAATAAAAGAAGTTTAAATTAGTACAGGCTCTTACGGAAAAACTTTCCCGGGCATAGTTTTCTTTATTTTGAAGACGTTACAGGGTAATGAACCTTTTAATTTATTCAATACGCAGTATTGTTTTAGGGATGAGATGATATCAAATAGTATACAACATACTTCATCGGCCATTGTGAGGAGTAATTTATAAAAACTTCTGCGTTATTCATCGCAAACGGAAGTACTGGCTCATACTTTCACAGAATGTAATTGCAGCACCATTTACTCATTTGTAGATCGCGGAACTTCATGCAATTGCTTGTTTTTACCGATCGCGCATATCGAAAGGAAATGTATATAACTTTACCTACAACCAAACATAAAACGAAAGTAGCTTATTTTCATTTTGCACAATTACATTCTTCTGGTATTTGTTTCATTAACTGCATATTTTTATTTATTTGGCATATTTTATTTATTTGGTTTTTGCGTAGAAGTGCGCTGAAGCGAGTTATTTCCGTTGCTTAACTTTTTTGTTTATTATAATGATTTAAAATATATTCAAATATAGGCGTTTTGTACTACTGTACAAAGTAAAAATTTATGTAAATAAATGATATCTGTTGATCACTATAATTTTTTCTAATGCACATTCAGAATTTTAAGTACTTGTATTGGCTACATTAAGTGCATCATTTCATGCATAATTTTAACTTTTTTCTAAGTTCCCAATTTAAACAAAAAACGTTTTGCGGTTTTTAAGAAAAAGTGGTTTAAAGAAAATAAAAATTGCCTTTGTTAGGCAAAAATTTCGCAAAAAATTCTCAGATTATTGAAAAATTGACATTACTTATTTAAAGATATTTCACTTAGCAAAAATTATCTTCATAATTGTAGTCTTAAAAACTTTTGAATATTTCCAATATCAAAATCAGGATTTTCTACCAACATGGGACCTACATCATTCTCTTAAACGTTCTTCAGACTATCCACCAACAAAATTTCATAAAAAGCGATGGATCCGTTTGAGAGAAAAAAATTAAACAAAAGTTAAAAATTGCTTATATTTCACTCAAAATACTCAAGTTTTTGAAAAATTATACCCGACCTTATTTCAAAATTTATCTTCAAGGGCCAACTTGTTTGTCAGTCTTGAATAACAGAGATCTTACTTTCATTTAAAGTATCCTTTGAGGGTACATCTCCGTAGTCGATCTAATAATATCTTACATATAACCGTACACATTTATTTTCTTGCGCTTCATTTCAGTCGGTGTCAGTATATAAAAAGCAGGTAATGAATTAACTTAATATTACAAATCATGGAATATTGGTAATTAAAATAGTTTATTACTGTTATAGATATTTATCAACTGTGTGTGATGTAGTATGACTAACCAATAAAAATACAGAAAGGAAATATAGAGGAAATTAAGCGTTTTTGCAAAGAATTGTTATTATTCGCCAAGCGAATGCACATAGTTTTAACAATTCTGCTTTGGCCACAGTGTGTTGCTGTCTTCTGTATAATATGCTGCGAATATTTTATCAGTCAGATGTATTCCTGTTTCATTTGTCAAAGTAAGAAATGATTGCTACTCCTGACTATCGAAATGATAAAATGCAGATACGCATCACAGGCATTTTGTTTTTAAATTGGAGTATTGGCAGATATGTTAGTAGCGCAGAGAATGCAATACATAATATTGCGTTGCTCTTTCCAATAACGCGAGAAAGTATGTGCTGTTGTAGCACCACTAGTTTGATCATATGTTACAAACTCCGTAACACCAATGCCAATAATATGGTCCAGAGAGGCGACCTCGTACGTAAGACGCTATACGCTGGTGAGCCCAAGTACATGGATACCAAGGCTCTTGGTTAGAAGCTTGCTTATAGCGTGAATAGTTTCAGTTCTATTTGTGGCTAAAGCGGACATTCTCAATCTCACGTGTATCGCATCAGTCCTCCCACACATAATCTTCTTCTTCTCCTTCCCCTGATGCTTCTCAGCGTCGGGTTAGTCATTTGACATACTCCTTTTTGTCTTGTGCCTTGCACTTCACCTCTCCTCGTGAAGCTCTGCTTCCTTGGCATATATCCTGTGCATATGCGTCTTGACCTTCGATAATGACCTGTTTCCGTATAATGTGGCATACTCTCAGTTCCTTGTATAAATGTTGGTATATATACTGGCTTATAA